TCTCTCTCTCTCTCTCTCTCTCTCTCTTCTCTCTCTCTCTCTCCTCTCTCTCTCTCTCTCTCTCTCTCTCTCTCTCTCTCTCTCTCTCCTCCCCCCTCCTCCTCCCTCCTCCCTCCCTCCCTCCTTTCCCTCCCCTCTCCTCCTCCATCTCTTCTCTTCTCTCCTCTTCTCTCTTCTCCTCTCTCTCTCTCTCTTCTTCTCTCTCTCTCTCTCTCTCTCTCTCTCTTCTCCCCTCCTCTCCTCTCTGTCCCTCTCTCCTCCCCTCTTCTCTTCCTCCTCCTTTCTCCCTCCTCCTCTCCCTTCCCTCTCTCTCTCTCCCTCTCTCTCTTCTCTCCCTCTCTCTTCTCCCTCTTCCCTCCTTCTCTCTCTCCCTCTCTCTCTCTCTCCCTCTCTCTCTCTCCCTTTCCCCTTCTCTCCTTCGTGCGGACCTTGAGTGTAACCTGTCGCACTTGACAGTCGATCTCGAATTCAGGCTGAAAGAAACATTCTACATCATCATATGCAAATGTGGAAATCTAATTAACAAAATCGGTATACATTACATAAGCAAAATATCGTTTATTTTCAGAGGTTCACTAATTAATCTTTGGTTAATCTGTTGATTTGAATAAATAGACATGTTCATTAATAAACACTCACGCAACTCCTCCCCCCCAAGCTTAAATAACACACGTATACACCCATACAAACATACACAAGTGTGTCTATATTCTATTTGTAGGGCCCTAAAATCGAATTCCACTTTTTTTTAGGATTTACAATATTACTAGGAAATCGTGCTACTTTTGTTGTGTCAGGATGTTTATAGGCTGTTTTTTCATGTTGCAGTTGCATGTTTCTCTTTCCTTTTCCCGTGGCTTCTGTCTAACCCCAAAAGTAAAAAAATTAGCCTGGAAATACTGTGTTTACCAAAATATCCACGATTTATATAGCAATTTATGACAGATATATCATCGACATACCTGGCATAAGCAGTCGTAACTAATATTTCAAATACAATCCCCCCAGTTTCTTACCTTGCATAGATAACATCAATTCAACGCAAAATGACAAATTCCTCCCTGGAAGACGAATGTGTATTTTGAGAGCGACAACCACCAACAATAACGTCACCAATGGATGACGCGAATGACACCTTATGGTCAAAATCTGAGCCTCGTACTTTCTATTTGAAATTTAGAGGGGGGGGGGGAGTCCACCACACCCCATGGGCCCGTCTTACACCACTTTCCCCTTTTGTTTTCTTGGAATAGTGATAATGACACAAGGAGTAAATGAACGAATAAAGATTCTGCATGGAATTTCTTTATATTTCTGGAGAATAAGTTTTTTCTATTTAAAAGTGTCTATATTCACAATATTTACTCTTTATATAAAACCTATAATTTAAGAGTGATATCAAAGAGGGGAACTTTTGTAATAGCAACAATCACTCCTTAATTAAAAAGTAAGGAAACACATGAAGACAAGTGAACAAACAAACACATGTATATAATCTATATTTATCTATGGTATCGACCTCCCACCATTATTATAGCAACCTGTCTATGTTTGTATCTTTAGCCTATCTGTATTGTGCGTATGTGTGGATGTGCATTTGCTTATACGTAATTATATCTATCTATTTCATCTGCTTAGCTAGTTATACGGCCTGCATCTTTTTGTAAGCATAGACACATTATTATCATTATCATTAATATATAATGTAAATCGATTATATATATATATATATATTTATTATCATTGTTGTCAATTTCAGGAACAAGTCCACTAGTCTTCCTCCGTTTAAAGTGTTTACATTCAGTATGAATATAAGTATCATGTGTATACACACGTACACAATCAAACACATACAGACACACAGACTTGCGCTACACACATACTTACTTACATATATATATATATATTATATATATATATATATATATATATATATATATATATATATACACATATGCACTTAGACATATAAAGACACATACAATTGACATGCACATATACACATATATGCATATACACACACGCAAGGAACTGTGTGTATATACATGTAGATAGATAGATAGATAGATAGATATAGATATATAAAGACTGTATGTATTCACTGTACATATAATTAATGAATATGAATTCATCTTATTATAATAAGCTCTCCGACGCATACTGATACGCCTCGTAATTATTTAAAAGAGGCAAGGAAAAACATAACATTTTTGATATTTCGATATATTTTGAACGTTATAAATAACATTATAAGGAATACTGGTGCATCTTAATTAATGTGCACCTTTTGCTAATGAACAATAAATTATGGCGTGTTGTACAGGCCTGAAGGTCTACTTCCTTGACCCGAATGAAGTCCACTGGCGCCTCCGTTGATACCCAAACCAATACCAGCTCCATTAACACCACCGAATCCACCCCCATTTACAATGCCAAAGCCACTTCCTCCTTCTCCGGCGAAACCAGCAGCGCCACCAAAACCAGCGACACCAGCAGCGCCACCAAAGCCGGCTTCTCCACCAGCGACACCACCAGCGCCACCAAAGCCGGCTTCTCCACCTGCAATTCCTCCAGCACCTTCAAGTCCTCCGAGGACTTGACCGCCTGCTGCTGCTGCGGAACTGAGAGCAGTTTCCAGGTCTACTCCAATGGGAAGAGTCGGGTTTTCTCCTTCTTGGTAGTTGACGAAGTAAATCTCAGGATCAGCCTGTGGCTGAGCTGGTACTTCGATCACTCGCTGAACTTGTTCATCCTGCTTGTTGAGGACATAGACAATGTTGTTCTGTCTTGGTGGAGGAAGAACGATTGGCTCGGGTGCTGTCCTTCTTCGGGAAGACGAACGAAGAGGATGTTGTGTTCTACTGCAGGAGGAGGAATACTGGTGCTGGGCCGGACAGCCTGTTCCTGTTCAGGAACATTAAACAGGTATACTTTTCTTGTGATTTCGGGAATGACACAAGTGCCATCTACATGTAGGACCTCTCCATCTCTGCATCCAGTAATGGCACCCTCACCGCTGCCCAAACCAGCTCCGCCTGCACCGGCTCCTCCTGCCGAAAGACCTGCTCCAGCGGAGAGACCTCCACCTGATGGTGCACCCAAATCGTAACCCTGTGGTGCTGCAAAAGCAGCGGCGGCGACTGTTAACAACAAAACCTGCGAAGAAGGTAGTAGTAGTAGTCAGATATATTCCTTTTGGTCTACTTAAGATTTTGTATGATGATTAAATTAAGGCACGATACAAATTGATACTGAAAAGGCACTGAACTTACGATGAACTTCATAGTGAATGGCTGAGTAAACTAGATGTTTAGCTTCTTATATATGAGCGCCCTTTCTCGTGCGACCTTGAGTGTAACCTGTCCGCACTTGACAGTCATCTCGAATTCAGGTTGAAAGAAGTATTCTACATCATCATATGCGAATGGTGAAATCTAATGAATAACAGAAACTGTAAACATGACATTAGCAAAATATCATTTATTTACATGATGTTCACTAATTAACCATCGATCAAAATAAAGATTCAAAGAAATAAACATTTTCATTTATAGATACGAACTTCCCCGCCCCCGAGACTTACATATAACGCGTACAGAAACTCATACAAACGCGCATGTATTTGTATATTCTATTTGTAGGGCCCTAAATCGAATTCCATTTTTTTTTTTTTTTTTTTTTTTTTTTTAGGATTTACAATATTGCTAGGAACTCGTGTATTACATAATATCGTTTTCTCCCTCTACAATCTCGATACAGACAGGACGCGAGAAACCTTTCGCCAGAGATGAGCTTCATATTCTATAATATTACTGTAGTTGCAAAGAAGAAAAAATCACCATGGTAACTACTCTAGTGTTGCTGAGGAATCCGCAGTCTATAGTCATCGCTATGAAATTGAGTCCCAAAATCACATAAATGAGTTAAAGGGAACGTGCGGTAAGCTTGGACTACTTTAAAGATTCTAGAAACCACATTCATAGATTTTTTATGTTTGATAGTTATGTGGGACTTTAGGATTGCCATTTTTATTGTCCATAACCTTCTTTTTTTAGGGAAAGACTGAAACCCCAAGGTTTTAGAAATCAATATTTTGTTGCACACACACACACACCATACACACACCACACACTCACACGACACACACACACGCCACACAAACACACACACACACACACACACACACACACACACACACACACACACCACACACACACACACACACAAAAACACAAAAAAAACAAAAAAAAAAAAAAAAAAAACGGGGTGAGATGGACCCCTCAACCTTAACACGAAGAAAAATTATCCTTGATGCACAAATCATACCAAAAAAAGTAACATCATCCCGAAGAACTGCTAATCGGAGTCATTGCAATACAATCAAAGCGCGGAATCCTCCATATGCATCACTACTGTCACTGTCACGAGCCAAAGCGATCAGGTTTTGCCTTGCTTGCTTTGCTTTTTCTTTCTGTTGTGTCAGATTTTCATGGGCCGTTTTTTGGTAGTTCTATTTTCTCTTTCTCTTTCCTTCGCGGGGTTCTGTCTAACCCAAAGTAAATATTCAGTCTGTGAAATTCTGTGTTTACCAGTTGCTAGTTTCTCTTCTCTGATTTCCTATCATACAATTTACTGTCCAATACCCCTGCATCGACATACCTTCCAGCATAAGCTCAGTCTTCCAATTTAATATTTTCAATACCAAAATCCCAGTTTCTTACCTCTGCATAGATAACACTTTCAACGCAACGCAATAACTCTGACCAAATTCCTTCCTTGGAAATTACCAAATATGTATTTCAGAGCGACAAAACCACCAATAACGTCACCATGTGAATGACTGAATGACACCTTTGGCCAAAATCTGAAACACCGTACTTATTACTTGAAATTAGAGGGGAGGGGGGGGGGTCACCCACCAATAGGCAACGTCTTACACCACTTTCCTCTTTTGTTTTCTTAGAATAGTGATAATGACACAAAGGAGTAAATGAACGAATAAAGATTCTGCATGGAATTTCCGTTGTATTTCTGGAGAAGAATTTTCATTCTATTTAAAAGTGTCTATATTCACATTCTTTACTCTTTATATAAAACCTATAACTTAAGAGTGATATCAAAGAGGGAGCTTCTGTAATTGCAACAATCACTCATTAATTAAAAAGTAAGGACACACATTTAAGACAAGTGTAGCAAGCTGCTTATGTTTATATATTTAGCCTATCTGTATAATGTGCGTATGTATGGGTTGTGCATTTCCTTTATATGTAATTATATCCATCTATTCATCTGGTTAACTAGTTATACGGCCTGCATATTGTGTAAGTATAGAATACATTTATCTTATCATTATTTATTTAATATGTGTAACTAATATATATAATACTTATATATATATATATATATACTATTAATATATATAATCGATATATATATATATAATATAATATATATATATATAATATATTATATAATATATATATATATATATTTCATATCATGTTGTCAATTTCAGAAGAAATCAACGTCTTTCCTCCGTTTAAAGTTGTTTACATCAGTATGAATACAAGTATCATGTGTACACACGCGTACACAATCAAACACATACAGACACACAGACATACGCAAACACACACATACATACATACACATATATATACATATGCACTTAAGACATATAAAGACGCATACACAATGACATGCACATTAACACATATATGCATTACACACACGCACGGAACTGTGTGTTTGTGTGTGTATATAGTATATAAGTATATATATATATATTATATATATATTATATATATATATGTGTGTATAGTGTGTTGTGTGATGTGTGTGTGTGGTGTTGTGTGTGTGTGTGTGAGAAGAGAAGAGAGAGAGGAGAGAGAAGAGATAAAGACTGCATGTATTCACTGTACATATAATTAATGAATATGAATTCATCTTACTATATAAAACGCTTCCGACACATACTAATACATCTCGTAATATTTAAACGAGGCAAGGAAAAGTTACATACAGTTTTTTTATTTCGATATATTTTGAACGTGTTACAAATAACATTATAAGGAAATATTGGTGCATCTTAACTAATGTGCTCCTTTTGCAAATTAATAATTATTATATTATGTTGTTGTACAGGCCTGAAGGTCTACTTCCTTGACCCGAATGAAGTCCACTGGCGCCTCCGTTGATACCCAAACCAATACCAGCTCCATTAACACCACCTAATCCACCCCATTTACAATGCCAAAGCCACTTCCTCCTTCTCCACCGGCGAAACCGCAGCGCCACCAAAGCCGGCTTCTCACCAGCGACACCAGCAGCGCCACCAAAGCCGGCTTCTCCACCAGCGACACCACCAGCGCCACCAAAGCCGGCTTCTCCACCTGCAATTCCTCCAGCACCTTCAAGTCCTCCGAGGACTTGACCGCCTGCTGCTGCTGCGGAACTGAGAGCAGTTTCCAGGTCTACTCCAATGGGAAGAGTCGGGTTTTCTCCTTCTTGGTAGTTGACGAAGTAAATCTCAGGATCAGCCTGTGGCTGAGCTGGTACTTCGATCACTCGCTGAACTTGTTCATCCTGCTTGTTGAGGACATAGACAATGTTGTTCTGTCTTGGTGGAGGAAGAACGATTGGCTCGGGTGCTGGTCCTTCTTCGGGAAGACGAACGAAGAGGATGTTGTGTTCTACTGCAGGAGGAGGAATACTGGGTGCTGGGCCGACAGCCTGTTCCTGTTCAGGAACGTTGAATAGGTATACTTTTCTTGTGATTTCGGGAATGACACAAGTGCCATCTACATGTAGGACCTCTCCTTCTACACCAGTAATGGCGCCCTCGCTGCTGTCGAAGTCAACGTTTACTGCACCGGCTCCTCCTACCGAAAGTGCTCCAGCAGAATCTCCTGCCCCTGATGGTGCACCCAAATCGTACCCCATTGGGGCTGCGGAAACGGCTGTTCCGATGATTACCAACAAACCCTGCACAAGATACATGTTATAATTAGTATATGGCACACAATAAATGCAGAGATGTAAAAGATAGATTAAAAAAAAAAAAAAAAACATCATGATAGATATTAACACACAGAACATGTTCAATGTTTTTTTTTTTTTCAACTTGTTAATTCAAAAGGTTATGTTTTACACAACGATACACAACGTACAACGAATTCC